CAAAAACTCCTCGTAACGTTGACGATTAGAGGTTGCGAGAGGTTGCAAATGCGGATTTTTGCGCGACGGTAATGGTGAGTCATTCAACTCCTTGTCACCGTGGAATTCGATAAGCCTTGTCCGCAACGTATAAAAATCTTGATCTTGCCGCAAGACTGTCCACGATTTAGCCTCCGCAACGCTATGAATAGCAATCATGTATACTGGTTGGGTGCCACCGCCGTCTACGTGAGGAACGGCAACTCGCCACGTTGTTAAGTCGCGATTACTCTTATCGCCGAAGCCTTTGATTTCGTTATACGCTCGAGCTGTGCAATCTACTTCTTCAACTGGATAGACGTCCTGTAGTTGAAACGGAGTACCATCAATTGCAGCTGTACGTAAAATGCCATCGACCTTGCCCACTTGATTATTGAATCGCATAGGAGGAGTAGATGTACCTCCTCTCGCACTATAATCAAATATATATGTTCATACAATTATTATAATTATGAAAATTTTATTGAAAACTAGCATATGTAAATTATGTCTAAATTTATAAAATATAGTGTCTATTTTATTTATATTTATTGAAAAACACTCTTAAAAAATTGCCATTTGCTCTATTTCATACATATAAATTATAATATAGTAAGTATAGTTGCACAACTTATATATGCAATAAAAAAATAAGTAATCATGAAAATAGCAAAATTAGAGTGTTAAAAAATAACATTTTTATAGAATTTAGAAACACATGGATGTGTATACATTTTACTTACTTAGCTGCTGTAGTAGGTTTTGTTTGTTCAGACAAATGACCGCACAAGAGTTTATATAACTAAAACATACAGCACATAAGTAGTTATTATTTAGAATATAAAATTTCATTATTAAAGATTTAATATATTAAGGATTAATACTTAATGTATTCAAAATTTTAAATATAGAATGTAATAGGGGAAGAAAAAATAAAGATAAAATGTCATTTACTTGATAACTATGATGGAATGATGGCAAACAAGTACTTTCTAGGAGTGCATGTGCTTCTTGATGAGCTTGATAAAAGGGTCGTGATATTCGTAGTTCTTGAATTTTTTCTGGTCCACCTTCTAATACTGGAAATAAATATGTATATGTGTGTAGACATTTTTTTTTTTAACTAAAATTATTTATTTATAAATTTATAAATTACTTTGTCGTATGCCTTTTGATATATGCAATGGTAAATATAAATATTCTGAACCATCAGGATCAAGATATACC